TCGCAAATCTTTTTCTCTTTCTGTATCAGAATTGCTATATCTTCACTATTTTGTGCAGATAGAAAGCGAGGGCAGGTATACCAGAAATTCAAGGTTTATTTTCCCAAAACGCTACACCGTTAGTTTTAATGAAAGGACGATGACTGTGAGGGAATTTGCGCTATAATTATTTTGAAAAAAAAATTCCAATGATTCCAAAAATTCGCTATCCACATCAGCTCGCCCGTGTCCTACACTGTCTTTACAGTATTGAACAATAACTATACTGATGAAACCCATTACAATTAAGAAAATAGTTTATGATATTTAAAATCTGTTTTTTCTATCATGTAGAGTGACCTTAAAGTTCACTCCCCCCCCCAAAAAAAAAAAATGAAGGGAGGATATGGGATGATGCAAAGAGCCTCGATCCCCCCCCCCCCCCCACGGCCCCACAATTCAAGTTTCGTAATCAGTACAACCGAATAAAAAAAAAATGTTATAAATCTGTAAGGGATGCACAGTAATGGCAAATTTTAAATTGATAAAGAAATACAATATAATCCTTTTCGTCTATTGGATGCGGACAACTTCTAAAGGTGGCAAAATAACCTGAATTATACTCTGTAAGGATTCGAGAATAGTTTGAAAATAGGGGTAAAACAAATTTAAGTTTATTAGGTCAATATTGTTTTATAAGCTTATAAATCTATTTTTAAAGAAATGATCGAAGCCGTTGATAATTTCTATTTCTTGCAATTTATCATATAAAATCAAAGGAATCTGTTTGGGTTTTTTTTTTTTTTTTTTGGGGGGGGGGGGCTTACCAATGTTTAAAACGCTACTATGGGAGTCAGGTTGTTTTATTCTAAAAGGTTTTCTTGGCTAACAAATGCAGTAATACAAAAGTTTGAAAGATTCCAAACAAACACGTCAATTTGCTCTGACCAATCATGACCCTTCCCATATCTGCCTTCATTTTAGTTATAAATGAAAAGAAATAAAATGAAAAAGCACAGAGACTGGATCACAGGAAAAATGTTTAATGAAATGAAATAAATACGTAATTAAATTATGATTTATTTCTGTTAAAACAGCAGTTGGGGAGGAGGTCTTATGTATAGGCCTCTAGAGGCCATTAAACCCACTCGGGCATAAATAAAACAAAAATGCCAAAATGTCAATTATGCTGGTTTTAACATAAATTAAAACGATGGACAAGAAGAATGGACAAGAAGAAAGAGAGACAACAAGGCTTTGTCGCCTGTGGGCGTCAATGCAATAAAGGGGGGATGCTTTTCGGAATAGCCTACAGATTCGATGTCCAATACGAACAAATCAGACAATTAAGTCTAGCAATCCGCCATGTTATTCACGATAGAATTATCAGACCATGTCCTGTAGCCACTAGCGTACCTATGGGGGGAAGGGGCCGGATTGCCCCTCCCCCCCCCCCCTCCGACGAAAAAGAAAGAGAAAGAAAAGAAGAAAAGAGAAAAGGGAAAAGAAAGGAAGGAAAAAGAAAAAGAAAGAAAAGAAGAAAAGAGAAAAGGGAAACGAAAGGAAAGAAAAAGAAAAAGAAAGAAAAGAAGAAAAAAGGGAAAGAAAGGAAAGAAAAAGAGAAAGAAAAAAGGAGAGAGAGAGAGAGAAAAAAAAAATGAAAGAAGTAGGGAAGGAAAGAGGAAAAGAGTGACGCATTTGCTGACAGAAATTTTGAAGGGCTTCATAAGCCCAGTTCCTGTCACTGTTGAGGGAAAAATCAGTTCGTAATGCCTCGCGCTCGCATGATTATTTTGTATCACTGATATGTGGATTCAGATACAAAAAGGGGGCTAATTACTTTTTTGTATTTGTTTTCAGGTCGATCACGATGTAGAAACAAATTAGTTGCATGTTTCAATATTATAGGGGGTAATGATTACTTCAAAAGGTTTTTTAATTTGATAAGAGCCTAATTAAACCATGGAATAATTAACATTTAGGATAGGGAAGGAGGGTGGTAGATGCTATGCATTTGTTAATCGGCAAATTTGGATGACGTCGCACCCTTAAAAGTTGGCAGCAAATTTGGGTGTCACTACCCTTACCCTAACCCCCCCCCCCCCCTCCCAATAAAACAATCTTTTTCGAATTATGAAGAATTTTCAAATCAACAAAACATAAGTAAGGTATGGGTATGCATGAAATCGCGCGATCGCAAACATCAAAATACCGTGGGAGGGGGGAAAACCCTCCCCCCCCCCCCAAAAAAAAAAAACACCCTCCCCCCCAACCCCCCCCCCCCCCCCCCCCCCTGACGCGGTATGCCAGGTTCGCCACTGCCTGTAGCTATATAGGAACAAAATCCGCCAATGCACATTATCCGCCGTGTTCACTAACGGCAGATTTGGTTGTAGCGGTATACGATATCCGCTGCTGATCACGATATCTGCTAGGCAGATTTTGTTCCGAGAACACGATCCGCCAAGGTAACAAGATCTGCCGTCACACCGGCACAGATAGCGCGCGCTAGACCGCGCTATCTCTGCGGTTTGGAAGGTACAACGTCGTTTCGGTCCGCCCAACAGCGAGCCACGGCAAGCCAAAACGGAGTGCCAATGGAGCACCTCTTGGGGTCTTGGGGGTGGTCCACGAGAGATCGATAGCACGGTCTAGCGCACGCTAGAAAAAGGGGGTGCTACGATAGACCGCGCTATCTCATTGCGGTGTGAACAGCCTCATGGAGGCTGTTCACATCGGCAGAGATAGCGCGCGCTAGACCGCGCTATCTCTGCGGTTTGGAAGGTACAACGTCGTTTCGGTCCGCCCAACAGCGAGCCACGGAGTTCGTTGGCCACGGCGAGCCAAAACGGCGTGCCACTGGAGCACCTCTTGGGGGTGGTCCACGAGAGATAGCGCGGTCTAGCGCACGCTAGAAAAAAGGGGGTGCTACGATAGACCGCGCTATCTCATTGCGGTGTGAACAGCCTCATAGAGATCAGCAGGGGTTGGTCTAGTGTTCCGAAAAATGGAGTTTTTACTTTTACAAGAACCCCTACAAGTTTCCCTTTCCCTTCTTATAAGTGCTACTTTTCATCTCTGATGAATGCCCGTTTTCCACCTCTGAGAGGTGCCCCTTTTATTTTGACACATGCCCCTTTTTTCTTTCTAATAAGTGCCGTTTCCCTTCTGATAAGTGCCCCTTCCCCTTCTCATAAATGTCCATTTGCACATCTCATGAATGCCCCTTTTAAAATCTGACAAGTGCCCCTTTTCCATAAGCAAATGCCCCTTTTCACCTCTGATAATAGATTTTTTAACTTTTACAAGCATTTTTTTTTTATAGATTAAGAGCCCATTCCCCTTCTCATTAATGCCCCTTGCAAAATCTGATAGGTGCTCCTTTCCCTTTCTAATAGGTGCCCCTTTTCTCTTCTGATAAGTGCACCTTTCATTTTTTGTTAGGAGCCCGTTCCCCTTCCCATAAATGCCCAAAATGGCATTTTCACCTCTGATGAAAGAAATGCCCCTTTTGCTTGATAGTAAGTGCCCCTTTTCCTTCAATAAATGCCTTATTGTTTGATCAGTTGAAATTCTACTACCTCAATGCACTTCCAACACGGTGTTTCTCAAAAAATCTACCAGCCCTTTTCTTTGTTTAACTTTGAGAGAGCATGCTATTCTGCAAAGTACACACAAATGACAGGAGCTCGCATGAAGTTCACTTTAAACACAAATTTACAACTCGTCTTGGTTCAGCAAGATATCTCACGAAAATCTGTTAACAAATTACATCAGAATTATGTAGATTTATCTGTATCATATTTAACAATTAACATATTTATTATCTTCCAGAATATCAGACATGTGGATAAAATTACACAAGCGTTTAAAAAATAAATCTTCTAAGTTAATAGCTGACATAAAAAAGTCAATGTTTGCATACTTCAACAACAAAATAACAAAAAGCAAGTAATGTTAAAACTTAAAAGGGCCGATTTTTGTCCAAAATTACTGTCAGTTTCAACATCGAGACAGAGAAAAATGAGAAGTTGAGTAGATGTTAAAAGGAGTAGGCTCTGCAATTGTGCAATAGCTTTCTTACCCTAGCCATCTTCAATAGATAAAACGTGCATGCTTTTTTGCTAGGAAATTTCATGTGTCATTTTCCACTAGGGAGAATAAGTTGGCTTGCACAAATTTAAGTACTTTATCAATGCATTTCCATTTGGAGAATATGACAAAGCAAAGCACGATTCATAGCTGTAGATAGCTAAAGTGCAACATTTGAAAATGAAAATATTGTGTACTAAATCTAAGCCTCATTATATTTACCTGCAATACAAATCAATTAATGTTTTTTTTATTTTTGGCAAAGACATGTGAGTGGCTGTGATATTATTGCATGTTTAATTATATCATTAGTATATATATATATATATATATATATATATACATTTCAAAACAAACTAATTTCAATTTCAATTTATTGTCCGATATTGGAAATTTGTTTTGCTCACATTTTACAAACGTACAAAGAATCACAATAACTTTGTTATCACATAATCACATTTGTTCTTTTGTGAAACAACATTCTACAGAGCTGCCAACCTCCAGAACAGAAAATCAGTAATCACAAGGCTCAAAATCAGTAATTTGGGGTATAAATCAGTAATTTCTTATGCGGCGCTATGAATCTAAAAAAACGGCACGCCAACACTGCGCGGACGCATGATTATCTGAAATATTTGGTGATTTTACTCACACAAAGATGTTAAATATTGAATTTCAGGTGATCACAACACAGTTTATCATGAAAAATGGCTTCTATTCACAGCACTCGCTACGATAAATCATATTTAATTTATTTTAAAAAAAAAAAAAAAAAAAAAAAAAAAAAAAAAAAAAAAAAAAAAATCATTTTTTTTAAAAAAAAATCCGTAATTTGATACAACATTCCGTAATGGTCGTTAATTTCCGTAACAATTACGGGAAATCCGTACTAGTTGGCAGCTCTGATTCTATGATACAGAATTATTTTCTTGTTATACATACACATGTACTATGATTAACATCACTATAAATTTTCACACATAAAACATTTCCAATAATGAGAACTTTGAGAAAATCATTTTCTCAAGTAACTTGTTATATACATAACTCATATACTCATGTTTGACATTAGAAGTCATGATCAAAGTCGATTGAAGATTCTTTGTACATGTACTACTAGTGACTTCAACTTTCAAAAGTCACACATTTCTTAAGTACATATATTTGCATACTTTACTTATTAACAAGAAGCATTCCCCATTCTTATTTATCTGGTTTTTTTTCCTGCTTTCCCAAGGGATAGCTTGAAAAAAGGGAAACTCTTCTACATGTCTTATTTTTAATTTTAAGCCCCTTTTGATTGGAGGGGCCCTTTAATGGTGTACTTTTTTCATCAAATTCATGATTACCATCACAGGATGTATCCCTTATATTTTGTGCTAGAGTGTAAATACTGATGAGGGTGATAAGACACTTGAAAACGATCTGACACTTGGTAAAGATTTGACACATGGTAAAGATTTCAAACTTGGTAAAGATAAAATGCATAAATGAAGTAAATAGTTATTGCATTTGGCAAGATTGAAATCAACAATTTGTTGGACTTGTGAAAGAGTGAGACAGATAATTTTTGGTTACATAAAAAGATATCTACTTTTTTTTTAATTATTAGAATGTAGAATCACTTGACTGGGAATTTGCACAGGTCATATAGGTTAAAGCTTCTATACAAAACATATGCTGGAGCCAGCAGTGTAGGGATTGTTCGGACTATTACCTAAGTCACATCTCTCATCAAGGGATATCTCCAAACATTTTTTTGTTTATTTCTGTGTGACCAGTACACAGCAGATTCACAGTATTGCACTATATTCCAACTGACAATTCAGTTTGTAAAGAACAGAAAATTGCTTACGATAAACTATCCGAAAACAAGCCGAAGACAAAGTGAAACGTATCACAATTCAACTACTACAATGTGTATAAACACTAAACAGGTTGCTCAGAAACTATTGAATACCAGCTGGAGCGCAACTCGGCATCTGCAGAGACCGGACGGCACAGTACAGCAACACAAAATAGACCGAAGTGACTAAGTCACCAAGCTATCCAAGAGTGCATTTGAAATGGAGGCATGAAACTAACATCGGGGCATTTGGGGTATTGGCGATAGCGAGAATTCAAAAATTAACATCCAGGATGACAGATGATACAAAAGAACATGTATATATCATAACCTTGCATTCTGTATCTTCTGCATAATTTACAATCAAAGTGTGACCAGAATTTTGGACAAAATAAAATTGTATAAGCGTTACTTTTGAAAAATCAAATATTTTCCTGATTGAGATGGAAAATAATAACCTTGCTCAAATGGAATTGTTGGGACCACAGTAGAGAACAATCACTTGGGGACAGACATGGGCACCCAGTGTCTGAAGACCAGGACCTCACCATCTTTCTCTATAGAGCATTCAGGATCTCTCAAGTACTTGAGGACACTCTCCCTGAGATTGTCTGGCGCCATCTTGCGGAAATTTTTAGAGTGGGTCAAGAAGTCGAGGAGGTGGTCACCCTCCTGACAGCCCTCGCCAAAGATGGACGTTCCTTGAATGTAGCGGGTGACCTGTTCTCCGGAGTAAGGCATGTTCTGGGTGTCCAGGGCAGCTCCGACTTGTTCATCGGTCAGCAGGAGGGGTCTCATATCAGTCACAATCTCGTTCATCTTACGGTGGACTTTGATGATAGTGGAATGCTCTGAAAAGGAGGGAGCAAAAAAATAACCATGAAGATAGTGGAATAGCATCAGAACCAGAGTCAGAGAAGTTGAGTCAAAAGAGAGAGAGAGAGAGAAAGAGAGGTTGAGTCAAAATATGGAAACACAGAGACAGGGACAACCAGACAGAGACAGAGAGGGGAAGATAGAGAAAGTGAGAGAGGGGGGGGGAGAGGGGGGAGGGTACAGGGATAGAAGGATGGCAAATCACTGCTCAATGTAGAGCAACATCTGTGCATCAGCACTTTTAGTTCTGATCTACAAATCTATGAATATAGCTTATTCCAACATGTATAGTTCATGGAATACAATCAACAACTCCACAGTTTATACAAATGAGAAACCACATTAAATTATTCCATTAGTACTTTTTTTGCTTATTTGAACTTAGAAGGGTCTCAGAGAAAGGTATTTTAAAGCATTGACCATATATGGACTTAATATGGCAATCCCTGTGATTAAGAAATCAAACTATTTCAATGCCAAAAACAGTTGAAAATGCCTTAATTAAGATCACATTACACTTATATTTTGGACAGAGTAACTTGTCCTTCTTCCTGAATTTCAACAGATGTCCGCAAATTTGAATGTTGGATATGTAGGTCACTGTTTGTATCAAGTTTAACAATGAAGACGAGATTCTTCTCTAAAAACTTTGTCTTCACAAAATCTGTAATGTATGTTTGTAAACTTAGTAGCAGTATAAGAGTAAAAGAACTGTAAACATCTCACTACTTACTAGACAGGACGATAATAAAAAGGAGGCCTCCATCTTCAAGCATATCATGTAGTCTCTTCAGGGTCTGTTTCAAGTCTGCGGCATAATAGAGGACATGTACTGCATGTATCAAGTGGAATTTTGGTGGCTGAACACCGCCCTCACAGCTGAAGACCCTGTCCAAGTACTGATCTGAGGTTTCCATTCTCCACTCAAAGGACGCTCCCTTCAAAGTATCTTCTTTCTCCTTGACCAGGTTCTTAAAGAGGTCGTTCTGAGCCTCGGAGGGCTCCACAATGGTGTTGGTGATCCGAGGGAATGTCGGAAGGAGCTGTTCCAGCATAGCACAGTCAATGTTTCCTACAGCAGGATGAAAATATGAAAGAGAGAATTATAAAATCAAAGAGTAGCACTGATCAGAGTTACATGTACTTTATATTGCACAGCGTCTTGCACACATAAGATTAGGAAAACACAATAAGAATGGAACAATATGGAAAAAAAGATAAAGATAGAGAACCTAACATTATTCCTGGACAGGATGGACTGAAGACAACAGACAGGTATATAAAATGGAAGCTGAAAATGTGCGCAAGGTTAACAAACAGCATGTTTCCACAGAAAAGAAGTGGAACACGGATTATCTTTTCCGGAATTGAAATACCGTGTCGCGGCAACAGGGTATTAAACCAATCTGTTTCCACAGAGCACAGCATTCCGATTCGCCCCGATTCCGTGTTCCAAGTTAGGCAAATACCGTGTCAATCGGAAGTCAAGATTCAACCTTTGACCTCGATCATGGATTCAGATCTACACAGGATTCCATGCTATTCTATTGTCACGTACAGCGCGTATATCAACATATTATTGTATACGCGTATTTCAAAGTATTTTTCAACCGATCACGCTGCAGTGGTGATTGAGGCTTCGCGCGCTCTGATGATCCGCCAGACACGGTTTGTCGCTGTGTGTTTCCACAGCGATTTCACAGGGAGTTCGTTGGGATCGACACGTCAAGATCCACCTCCAGAGGTGGATCTGATAATCCGTATCTCGGTCGACTTGACCCAACAAGCTTGTGTTTCCACAGGAAAACTGACACGGTATGACACGGGTAATACCTTGTCGATGTTTTCTGTGGAAACACGCTGAAAATTAAAGCAGTGCCTCTGTCATAAGATCATTGCTAACACATTTTAAATCTGGTTGTTAATTGTCTACAACCATCAACAGATATAACATAAATGCTCCTGCAACAACTGCTCTGAGGTCAGTTTCAACTAGATACAGAATTCCTACCTTCAACCCTGGATCCAACACTATACCCAACCTTAAACCTATGCTTAAAGCCTTAAACCTAACCTCAAACCCAACTGTAACGCTGACCCTTGATGAAGTTTCCAAGAGCATTTGTTGTCGGAGCAATTGTCAGATCATGGAGCTATAACTCTTATAGCTCCATTGTGAGATCAATGCAAAAGGCCCTTACCAGCTCCGCTGCCGATTCCTAAAACTTTGAGAGGATCTGCAGACTGGCATCTCTTGGACAGTTTCTCAACGACCTCTTCCTTAAATGCTGTATCAACCCAGTCCTGGATGGCTCCAGTCTTGACTGAACAATGAGTGAAGGTTTGGTAAGCCTCGGAGTAGTAGTCTAGATCATCAAGAATGTACGTAACTTCAGCCATCTTGGTTTAAATTGAGCTGTAAAACAAAGGATAATAACAGAATAGAAAAATGATATTGAACAATTAATGTGATTTCACCTTCATGAATAACATGATTATGTGATAAAGTGCAAAAAATGATAATACTGTTGTTGCATACGATGTGGGGTATTATGACGTCAGAAGCGAAGTTTTGGTTATTTTGGGTTTAGCCATAGAGGGCAGTTGCGAATTTGTTAGGCAGGGGGGTTCAACTCCGCTTCTGCATCCGTCTAGCCATGGGGAGATTTTGGAGGGTCAAAAGTGCACACTGCTTCCACTTTTCATGTATTAGCCTATGAAGACGACAAAGTTTTAGTGCACCAGCGAAACGGGGATTTTGGACTGCGCGTAGCGCGCAAAATATTTAAATTAAAATTTGGAATATTCATGAGCTATTTTCCACTTATTAGCATATTAACGCATGAAAAAAAGTCAATGCGCATGCGTTACTATACCGACATAATCCTTAATTGGGCCGGATAAATGTAGAACAAAGTTCATGCAGAGTTGTGGAGGTGTGTGTGTTGGGGGGGGGGGGGGGGGGGGGGGGGGGGGGGGGGGGGTAATAAACTTTTAAATGGTTGACTTAGTTGGGGCCACAAACTTCACTGTCACCAGGATGGAAAGTACATTTTAAAAAATTCAGTTCAGTTAAAAGGCAAAAAAAATGACCCCATTTCACTGTGGTACCTCAATTCATTTTTTACCTCTTTTTTTTGTTTGTTTATTAACTTAAATATTTTTTAAATCAGAAAAACTGCACTGATCATTTAGCCGACTTAACAAGTGATATATTCATATTTTTAGTGTCCAAATAATGAATCATTCTCACCTCGACTTCAATGTTCTTCATATTGTGCCCCATCCCCAATGAAATTTAAATTTTTGCATTCGTCGCCACTGATTTTTTGGAAATTTGCCCCCCCCCCCCCAACAGTAACATTTTCAATACAGGGACCCTTTCCAATATTGACATTTCCATAGGCTCTATTAACCTCCCTCCCCCATCCACACCCCAATTACCTATGCTTTCATCATTTTGGCATTGACTTATTCTTTATTTAACCCCCCCCCCCCCCTCATCTTTATTGTAAACCATTTTGTATACTGTATTTATACATTAGTCTTGCCCACTCTCTTGTTACATTTCCGCTTTCTCTCATTAGAAAAGATGGTTAAATCTATCTCGCTGATACCAGATATAAACAAACATCAAAAGGTCGAACACCATACTCAATTCTACACAAGACTGCATCAGACCCCATCTCACCTCAGTCATACAGCATTATCATTACAGAGTGCCTACATCATCATAATCACCAGCATCATCACATACATTTCACAAAATAAGAAAATGAAAAGAACAGAATTAAGCAGTATCAACTAATTTATTAACATTTATGAACTCATTTATGAACATATTTTGTTTCTATAAAGATCTTTTTAAATCCAACATGACATTAACAAAAAGGATGGCAAATGGATGGGGGGTGGGGCTGTCTCTTGAATTCAAATTTTTCAGTTGTAAAAGTTTACTGTAGATTTTGAAAAAAATATTCAATAATATCAACATGCTATTTTATTATGTAAAGAACAGGTATATACTGAGTTTTATGAGTACTTTATCTGACATTGGACATTATGGTTGTTGATTTTTACTACTACCTGTATTATCATTATTATTACTACTATTATCATGATCATTGTCTTTATTGTTACTATTAGTTGGAATATTTTTGTTTTACCCCAATTTATGGAATTATTTTATAAATAATTTAAAAATAAGATCTGAGAATGTATACTATTATCTAGATCTATTATTTTTAAATTATTTTTAAAATAATTCCATAAATTGGGGTAAAACAAAAATATTCCAACTTTATGAGCGACAGTGTATAATTATATTACTACAGTATTACTATTGAACTACATCATTTTATACCCCCCCCCCCCCCCTTCAATTTACTATCCAGTTCAGCATCCCTAATATTTTTGTCAGAACTTGACTTAAGATTAAATATCAAAAAACTATATTACATGTACGCGCATTTAAAAGAAGATATGATTACTTTCATGATCCTCGATATATCTTCTTCTTATTCTTCTGGTAATCTTCAAAAGGCGTTGTAGCCTATCACGAAGATGAACTAATACTAAAGATTACAAGTGGTGTGAGGAAGACAGACTGTTTTTAAGTGGGATAAGGAGAGTAGATGCCTCAGAAGTAGTCCCTGGCAGCTGGACTGTCAGCATGCACTATATTTGCTGGAAGTCAGTTCCATTAACTTTGGGACAGAGTGTTGGGCAAATACAAACTTGTCTATGTCGCTTCTGGCTTGGTGCAACTGGAGGGTCATGTCACGGTACTTCCTGCTCGTGATTTGTTAAAGCCCGTCTGTACTAGTTTGGCCAGGGGGATTAGACCACCCTGCAAGGTCACTGACAGGTGGTTATCTCATCAAATCAGCTCTCAATTAATATAAGAAAAAGAGGATCATGGGAGACCAGTAGGCACCGATTAGGCATTGTTTGCTATATAGAAGGCGCAAGTAGCTATAAGTAGTGCAGTGGGGAAATTTTCAAGGGAGAGCGGAGAGACAATTGACTATCTTGTGCACCATTCCCAGTCTTCTTGCAGAGTGCCTTGTAGTTGTAGATATAGTAGGCAACTAAAAGGTGCTGATCATCTCAGTCAAACTGCTGGTTCTCTTGTGGTCCCCATTGTGAAGGAGCGTCCTGGACATCTGAGATGTTGTAGGGATCCCAGACACCGGAACAGATGAGGATAGACAAGGGACTTGTACAAAAGAAGCCTGGGAATCAAACCTTCTGCATGGGACAACCTGCATAATAAAAAACAAAAAGAGAGGAGAAATCAAATAAGATTAAAACTGCTGCATTATATTGGATTTTCAAAAATAGTACCTCCCCACTTTTTTTAGGTCTTGCAAATTTAATTTTATTAAAAAATGATAAACTTATGTCTATCTGATAGGGCCTTTTTTGAAGAGAAGAATAAAGGTTAAAATGTATTTCCAATTCATTTTAAGTTATTATTTGCTAGACTTTTGTGAACCAAAGTTTGTTAGATATAATGTAATATTTAGGAAAAGTACCTTTGAGTACCTTTAAGTACATCTTTTAATATGCTGAGAAAATAAACTGTAGCAACACCCTAGTTTGTCACCTAAATAAAAAGCTAGAGAATAAATGAGAATTACAAGATATAATGCAACACAAGATGACAGTTCCCCAAATCTTTGTATAGTCCAAGTCGAGTGTGGTGTTCGCATGGGCTTAGATTATACAGCCTGAATATTTTCGAACTTCATACAAACATACCTTGCCAAAGTTCAACTTAGGTCTTAGGTGTCCTGTTCCTGATTAGATACATTTGTTGATCAGGTCCTGGTGCTCTTTGTTGCACTTCTGTGATCATTATCTGCTTCTTTGTTCCATAGCATCTACAATTAAAAGAAAACAGAAGTACACAAAGTAAGGTTCCTGCTAATATCAAATGCATGCATTAGTTATCAGTTTATAACTTTGTTCATGTCCTTTAGAGAAAGAAATATCCATGTCATATGTAGGGTTGGATCCAGAATTCTCACCAACATAAAACTAAGGGGTGGCATAAAATCCTGAAAAAAAAACTAATTATTTCAAACAAGGCACAATGACATAACTAAGAGCGAAATCAGGGGAAGTGGGAGGTGGGGAGGGGGGGGGGACACCTTTTTTTGTTTTGTTTTGTTCTTGTCTAGTCTATCTAGCCTACATCCGAACTAAGCTGGACCTGGATACATAATGCCACACTAGCATGACTAGATCTAGACTAGACCCTAGCCTAGGCCAGGGCTTAGTCTATCTAGATCTATAGATCTAGACCTAGAGAGTAGCCTAGACTCTATGCCTGGCTTAATTAGCCTGAATTTTCTGTCTCTTTCGTTCGTTAGCCTCTGATTTGGGTAGGGTTGGCTAAAGAGAGGAGCCGACTCTACCCAAATCAGAGGCTAACGAACGAAAGAGACAGAAAATTCAGGCTAGACTATGCTATGAATACTAGCCTAGGCTTTACAGTAAGACTAAAGTGTAGCCTACACTGTAAAGTTATAGCCGCGCCAGCTCAGGAAACGCAGTCGCTTCTTGGTGGAGTGTTACAGCCGGCTAGCACCGGCGAATTGAAAATCATAAACCGCTCGACGAAATCGCATCGGCTTGGACTAGCAATAAGCCATTTGCGCAGTCTACAACAGGTCTACATCTACCATTGATTACTATCGGTAATCAAGCTGTGAATTTAACTTAAAATTATGAGATGTGCTGTAATGAAATAACCTACGGTAAACTCCTGATTATTTCTAAAAGTATTACCGTCGACGACTTAAATTAGAGTTAATTCAATCAGTTAATATTCTTTGGTAAGACAAAAGAAAGGGATGGGATAGGGAATAATACGTTGTGGCAATGCAGAGAGCCCCTCACTGCAACGACGAACACATCACAATCGTTTCAGAGATCTTCACACAAAATGGATCTTTACTTACTTTTTTTGGTATCCGTATGGTATCACTTTGATGTCGATGTTCGCCTGAAGATTTTCTGCTCAACTGAGATGTATTTGACAAACTTCTATGATAATAGAAATTCACTTACAAGAAAAATGTTTCATTGTTCGTAATTGAAAAACTTCAAAGTCGCAGTTCATACAACCGCCATTTTTCGTCATTTTCTTGCCCAAATCGTAGGGAATTCTGGGAATGCAAAAAATGTTTTATGCATGACCTAATACATAAAACATTTTGTCGATGGCCAATCAACAAACAGTAATTGGCGTATTTTTTACGTCATTGCTCATGAATATTCATTGACCCTCCAAAACCGTCGTTCAAATCGGACAAAACCCCCATAATGCATCCAATGCAAAACCTATGAAATGTCAAAGGTCACGATTTTAGTTGGCCCTCTAGTCCTCCTACGGAGGACATACGTGTA